GACCGACACTAGACCTCTATCTTTTATCCGGTGAAAAAATCACTTCAAAATGAATCAAAGATCTCAAAGTATAAGACCTGAAACTTTGAAATGCTAGAAGCACAAAAGAGCAGGGAAACACTTCAAGTCATAAGCACCGAAAAAGCCTACCTAAATAGGCCTCCAGTAGCACAGGAAATCATAGCAAGAATCCGCAAATGTGATTGCATCAATTAAATACTTTCTCTACAGCAAAGGAAACAACAGAATGAAGAGATAGCCTTTGCCAGCTAATCTGCAGAAGATCAATGTCCAGAATAAAGAACTCAAGAAAGTTAACATTAAAAAACCTAATCAGACCAGGGATATAGCTTAGCAGCACAGTGCCTGTCTGGTAAGTGCAAGGTCGTGAGTTTGATTCCTGGCACCAAAAAACAAAAAACCCATTTATCAATAAACAGGCAAAGGAACTGAACAGACACTTCAAGAGAAGAGGCACAAATGGCCAGTAAGTATATGAAAAATGTTCAGCTTCTTCGGATACCAGGGATATGCACAACAATGACATGGAGATTCCATCTCACCTCAATCAGAATTCTATCACCAAGAACACAAATAAATAAATGCTGGTAAGGATGCAGAGAAAAAGGAACTCCACTGCTGGTGGGAATGTAAATTAGTACTGCCACTATGGAACTGAATATGGAGGTTCCTCAAAAAACTAAAAATGGAAATATCGTTTGTTCCAGTTATATTACTCCTCAGTATATTCCTGAAAGTATTAAAGTCTGCATACTTTAAAGATAACTTGCATGCTCACATTTCCTAGAGCCCAACTCACAATAACTAAACTATGGAATCAGCCTAGGTGCTGCCAACAGATGAATGGATAAATAAAATGTGGTATATATAACACAATGGAGTACTATTCAGCCATAAACAAGAATGAAATCATGCAATTTTCAGGAATATGGATGGAACTAGAGATCATCATGTGAGATAAGACACACTTGGAAAGACAAACACTGTATGTTTTCTTTCTTATGTGGAAGTGGGAGGAGCACAAAAGTAGAAGGGGGACTATTAGAAGAGAGGAAAGAAACAAGGATTGGGGGGAAAAGGGGACAACTAGGGAGTAGAAATGGTCAAGGAATGCTACACGCGTGTATCAACCTGCCAGACTGGAGCCCATTGATCTGTATAACTAATGTGTGCTTCAAAAAAACAGAAGACAAAGGCCTCAGCTATAAGGCACTTCTTAGATACTTAAGAGTGAATATATAAAAGGGTTAGGTCTAGTGTTCCACAGCATAGTGACTACGCTAATAGTAATTTACTGTGTATCTCAAAATAGCTAGACTAGAGGATTTTAAATGTTTCTAGCAGAGAAAAGATTTATCTGAGGAGAGATATATGCTAACTGCCCTCATCACTGCACTCTGTCAAAATATTACAATGTATCCTACGAATATGTATAATATCACAATAGTTAATTAAAAGTAAAAAATTAAGAATAAATTTGGTATGATGTAAATATAACTACAGTTGAAACTGTTAGATACTTACCTCTGTGGCATAGATTGTAAACACAAAACAACTGCTTTCTTGGACTATGCAACTATGACTTGGGCATTTGCTTCAGTCCTGCTCAATAAGAATCAGTGGCAAATATATATATATATAATGTGTGTGTATATATATATATACACATATATAGAACTCAATAAGAATCAGTGGTAGATATATAGATATAGAATGTGTGTCTATATATATATACACACACACATATATGGAATTCAATAAGAATCAGTGGTAGATACACACCCACACACCCACACACACACACAGAATTCAATAAGAATCATACCACTGATTGTTATTGAATTCTATATGTGTGTGTGTGTGTGTCCAGGGCTGCTTCATCTGGACATAAAAGATACTTCCTTACTCTTCCTTCTTTTCTTCTGTACTGGGAATCGAACTCAGGACCTTGCGCTTGCCAAGCAGGTGCTATGCCACTGAGCTTTATTCCTAGGCTGTCCTTACTGTTTAGATGAGTGAGGGTATATATTATTCTTTAATTGGGGTGTTGGATTCTGTACATTACTATTTTATGAATAGTTTTATGTTGATATCTATAAATTAACTTAGACTACAGTTTGTTTTAGACGCTCTATGTCAAGTTGTGAAATACTATACATATAAAAAGAGTTTATAAGTTTTACAAAACTTACAGTGATACCTTGGCACTTGTCATTAATTGAATGGGAAGACGTGATGAGTACCAAAAATGACAAATATCACACAAAATTCTTTGGGCTGGAAAGGGTGTCAAGCCGTAAGGCAACCGACACTGACCAGCTATCGCTTGCACATTAAGCACCAAACCAAAGAAGAGAACCAGGACAAATTGTCATGTCAAATGAGTCAAGTTCTACAAGATTTAAAGCAGGTAAGTATCATACTATGACTGTATAAGTCTTTGATGAACAAATATAGCCTCATAAAGGAGTCAGTTTTGGTCAATTTAAGAATATTACCAATTTTATCTATGTCTTCACATTTATTTGTACAGAGTCAATTTTTACAATTTCATCAGTTTCTGTGACTATTTTTTCGTTTTATTTTATGAATTTTTTCTTGATATATTTAGCAACTTCTAATTTTGTATAGCACTTTGGGCCAAAAGCTTTGGAAATTACAAGTTATTAAATGTTATATGAGCCAGTAACTAGTCTCTCAGATATACTGAAACAGTATAAAGACTGCTTTCTGGGTCACAGCTATACGGTTGCATACAAAATAAGAAAGGCCTATTATTAAAGTATCTATTATAATTTCTAGACCATGGTAGTTCTTATCTTAGCAAGGTGTGGTCCCCTAAGCCATCTGGTAGATCACAATACAGCAAGATGTTGGTCTAGGAGCTAAACAAATGCAATTCTAGCACCCATATGCTTGATTCTCCAACTGGTCTACCCTACTTGTACATACTGGCACAATTCCTGGTAACAGCTGAGCAAGTGCTCTATGTATTCCCAAACCAAAGGAATATGAAAGCCCTTTCATCTCCTTTAACAGTGAGTTAAAATAAATTAGACCATTTTATAAACTTAACTAGTAAGTATGAATTCTGCAAACTTAATGTTCATACCCTCAAATGTGAACATAATGTGGCCTCCAAAATCTACCAGTGGAAGAGCCATTTTAGCATGCCAAATGTTCTACATAATCAAAGAACTGAGATTTTATTTTATTAGTTTCTTGAGACAAGGTCTAATGTAGGTTGGCCTGAACTTGAGATCCTCCTGCCTCAGCTTCCTGCGTGTTATGATTCTTTTACTATGCATGTTAGGCTTCTTTTACTATGCATGGCTAAGATTTTAATTACAAATCAAAGCATCACCTTGAATTTCATCAATTTATTTAATAATGAAAATTGATACTATCACCTTAAAATATGATAGTAGGTAATTACAGATAAATTCTTAGTGTATTATTTTAATTGCTGTGCATTATTTAAACAACCAGGTCTCAAATCTTTGGTCTCAGGACCCTATTACAAAGTTTTTTTTTGTAACAGTTATAACTATTGCTGTATAATACAAATTATAATTAATAACTTTAAAAACGCCATTTATTTTAAAATGAGCCAGGCATGGTGGTGCATGCCTATAATCCCAGCACTTGGGAAGGAGGCTGAAACAGGATTGTCAAGAGTTCGAGGCTAGCCTGGCCTATATAGTGAATTCAAGGTCAGCCTGGACTACATAATAATGAGACCCTGTCTCAAAAATGAAAACAAACAAAAACTCCTAATTCTTTAATATCTGGTTTAATATGAAAAAACTAGAGTCCCATCTTGCTTCTTTTCTACATTCAATCTGTTGCAATATGTTGTTGCTTTGGTTGAAGTATGTAAAGATAGCCTGGCCTCACGCAGATATACAGATATACGGTTGGAAAAGAGAATACCTCAGGACTTTTTGAAAAGGTTTTAGGGAATCCACTTTGAGAAGCATTAGATTAAGTTTTATATACTTGTATAAGGTAATGTTTCATTTGTGATGAAAAATTATGCTATAGTAACAATTGCAGAACAAGGTTTTAAATCTACTCTTCATGCTAACGTTAAATTATCATATCATATAGGTATCAATATTTGAAATATACACAGCAGAGATCAAACAAGTTGGAATCTCGGGGGCTGAGGATTTAGCTTAGCGGCAAAGCGCCTGCCTGGCAAGCGCAAGGTCGTGAGTTTGGTTCCTGGTACCGGAGAAAAACAAAAAAAAAAAAAAAAAAAAAAACAAGTTGGAATCTCACTTGATTGACTGTTTTTTCTACTATTCTCTACAGCAGCTGTTCCACTGGGTTCACAAACCAACTTCACACCTACAACTTCTCTAGTCTTCTACAGATGTGTCTACTTCCGATTTCCTTGAGAATGTCTTCAGAATAGAAGTCTATCAATCTCAAACCACCAACAAACAAACTTAGGTGTACCCTATTTTCCACCTTTACTCCTGTTAAAATAAAAGCATTATTTTTTCTTTAGTCTGAAACTCGCCTGCTTACTACATACAGTGACCTCTGTATGATTAAAAGTAACAAGATTAAAAGAAACTCCCTTAAGTTGAACTAAGATTTCTAGACTATGCCAGGCCTGTGTTTAAGAAAGTAGACTCCCATTTCTTTCACCCTATCACTTGGTAAGTATATCCCACTGAAAAATAATTTGATTCCTAATAACTGAGGATATTTAGATATTTCAGGATGAGCATTCTCATCAGACATGCTCTTATTTGTACTGATTCCAGATTACACAGCATAAATCCTTTAATATAAAAATAGAGCTTTCTAATTATATTTTTTCTCACTTAATTCTATTGCTGAAACAGAACACGAAGGGACTCGTTGTTGGAGGGCTCTCTTTTCATTGTTCTGGTGAATGGGATTTCACACTCAGTCACTTGTCAGTTCTTTTCCATGCAGGGCTGTACAGAAATACCCACTTTTACCTTAACTGGGAAGCTACATTTTCCAGTGCGAACCCCTTCTTCGTCTGTCTGCCACTGGTGTGGGCGGCTGGCCTCCGGAACATACGCATCTTTCTTTCTCCTAAAACTTTGACGTAGTTTGTTCATTTTAATTTTTACAACCTGCAGACAGCAAAAGAAATATGAAAAAGAAGTTATCTTTTAACATATTTAAACTTTGGATTACCAAAATGACTCAAATTAAAGGTTTTGGTAAGGGGAAATAAACAGTTGGTAAACTTTCTCTTAGAGTAACACCAAGTTCAAACAAACCATTTTTGAAAAAACAGCTACATTACAATTGTAAATACAATAATAACTTCTAGTAGGATTTAAGGAAATGTTAGAAGAATTTTCAAGCATTTTAATTATAATAAATCAACAAAAATTCTGCCAGTCTACCACTGATATCCATTCTCACTTGTAAAAGTGAGAAATTGGTACATGAGGGCTGAATTATAGACCGACAGCAATTTCTGAAAACTTTCATACTTATTAGGGGAAAAAACATTCTAGTATATTGAAATTTGGGACTCATTTTGGCTTATTAAGAGACACTCAGCAAAACAGGGACTGTAATCACATTTTTACAATAGATTTTTTTTATAAAGAGGAGTAAAACAAAACTTTCTTTAAACACATTTAAACAAAAAGTTCTACTAGGACTAAATTTAAAGAAGAAACTTGTTTCCAACAGTATGACATCAGAATTTACTCTCACATTTGCAATCATTAATCTAAAACAATGACAAGGTTCTAAGTTTCATAATTAACTCTGTTAATACTCTTAAAAAGCATTAAACTCCAGTAAGTTTTTTGTTGCTGGAAGAGACACCTCTTGAACACTGTCAAAGATTCAGTAGTGATTATACAACTATAGAGAAATAACTGATGACAAACAACAGAATGTTCAAGAAATGATGAACAAACATCATTAAAGAACTGCCCATTTATAGAGCAAAATCTCAAAATGTGAAATTAATACCTCCAATTTTATATTAAGAAGCATGGCTCATTCTTTTCCAGAAGGATTTAAGCACCTCAACTGGCCTCAAAGTGATCTTAATTCTACAAAAATTATGTGACAAAATGAAAACATAAAACATCTTCTCTGTCACAAGTATTAATTACCACACAACACCAGTGAAACACTTGAGAATCAAAGTTTGCATTCTGATAAAATCGTTTTGCATTTTAAAATGAGTAACACCACAGGAGAACTATTACCAAGTCAGCTAATTTATACGCGCAAGCCAATCTGACTACACATCTTAGGTAAAACTTCTGACAAGAGTGTAAAAATCCCTTCTCCTCTAAAAATGAATTTAAGTAGATCATTATTCCTAAATGATCTAAATGAGAGTACCTTTATCTAACAGACTTCCAAAAGGAATTTCATAACCTTCCTTGAAAATACAGCCTTCAGATCACATCTGAAAAACACTACACACAGAGGCTGGGGCCAGGCTCAGAAGTAAAGCATTTGTCTAGCATGTGTGAGGCCTGGGTTTAATTCCCAGCACCACCTAAATAAATAAATAAACCTATGAGTAGAAAAAAAAAAAATAAAAAGCATCTCTAACCTTGCTCAAGTTGGCAATACTGACAAAAAGCCTCAATTCTGGGTACCAAACAGCCCCCCAAAAAACAAACAAAAAAACCCCACTGACAAAAAACTTCTTTTCTTCTTAATTTCCTTCTCTTAGCAAAGAACTGCCTACCTATCACTACCTTACCAGTTGGCCAAGCCAGGCACCTGGAATCATCCCTCCACCCCCTCCCTGGTCTGTAACTCCAGCATCTCTTGAATTCAAACCCTCTCCATACCAAGCCCACTAGCGTGAGATAGACACATAAATTTAAACGTGGTTTAAATTATACCAAAAGCCTATGTCTTGGTCTCTGCTTCCAACAGTGCTCCATTCTGATCTGTTCTGACTACTGCTAGAGTGCTTCCTATAAAACATAAACCTGACCATGCAACTACTCTACTTAAAGTCCTTCACTTAGAGCTGGGCATGGCGACACAGGGTTGAGTGGTGAGACCGGCTTGCCTGTGTAAGTCAGCTGATTTGGTAACAGTTCTGCTGTGGTGCTATGCATGGCACCCTGGGAGGGTGAGACAGCAAGATTCAAGGTGGAGCCCAGCCTGGGCAACTGAATGACTTAGTGAGGCCCCGTCTCAAAATAGTAAAAACAGGGCTGGGGACGTAGTTCAGTGTGAAGGTCCTGGGTGTACTCCCCAGTGCGGGGGGTTCCACTTGCTTCAGAACACTTTCAAGATCAAGTCCAAACTGCTCGGCCCGGCAAACACAGTCCTTCTCCATCTGGCTTCTCTCACCAGGCCCCATTCACATACCAAGCTCCGGACACATTAAACTATTTCCAGTTCTCCAAACAAAGCATCCCTTCTTTCACTCCAGATCCTCTGTACACATTCCTAGTCTGCCTAGAAAGAAAGAACGTTCTCTGTTTGCCTCTGCTTAAAGTCTACTCATCTTTAAAGAGTCTGCTCAGGAGTTAACGGCTTTAAGGAAGCTAGACTTACCTGGCTTGGTTTCACTTCATGTAGGTCTCATTAACGCTTTATGCTGACTTCTTTTACTGTACTCATCCGACTTTACAGCAACTTATATTTCCTTAATGGGAGGCAGTACTGTGTTGGTTTAAATGGTACCCTGGCATCTTAACACAGTGCATGTTATAGTGGCACACTGTGTATTGGAGGAAATGAAAGATAAAATGTATCTCCATCATGGTAGAGGTCACTTGCTAGGTACAAGTTTAGACACACAAGACCAGTGTGACACAGAGAATCAGTGTTGGAAGAGACTGCAGATTTAACAGTAGTCCAGTTTCCAGCTGACAAAGCAACCACTTTGACAACTTCCCTTAATAAAGGCCGACTCCAACCTCTGCCTAATAGATCTAGCACAAGTTTATCTGCCTTCTACACAGCTATTTATTATTGCACTATTTTGTTGCTGGATAAGGGAAGAGATTATAAATATTAACCAACTGAGTCTAAATACATCATTTCAGTATGCAAATAGTTTGATGTCAGCTTTTATGTGAAGTATTACATATTAGCAATTCTCCAACTATGCTTCAAGTAGCCCCACAATTTCCATGGAAGAAGCCCAGTGGCCACTGGTTATTTGAAGGGAAAGAAATAGAAGAGGAGGACAGGACATAACTCTCAGGAAAGGGTTCAGGTGCTGATCACAGTTGAAATAGGCTAGTCCCACTGTATTTGATTTACATGTTGGGGTTCTACATAAAAGTTTAAGGAAACAGTTTCATGGTTAGAACATTTTTGAAAATGGCTGTCATAATAGCTCTAAAATTAATTTGGAAAAAATGGCATCTTGATTACAGCTTCTTAATGAATAAAGAATAATTACCAGTGGCCTGAAAAGTCCTGACTGAACACTTATAATGGGTATATTTTTGTAAGAATAAAGACTGGAAATACACAAACTTATTTTGTCTTTCAGCCTAAATTTTTTAAAAAAGAAATCTGTTTCTAAAAGAAATCTTTTAAAAAAAATCTCCATTCTACTAGAAATTTCAAAGGTCACTAGATACAACTTACTTGTGAAGTTCAGCAAATCTTTAATTCTCTTTAACTGCTCTGCAAAACCTGATACTCTATTTCCAGCTCTTTCTTGCACACTTTTCCTTCCTAGATCCCTTCCCTCCCCATAATATTTTTCTGGTTTATCGTCTTCACCTGTTTACCTCTTTTGAGAGCCTCCTCTACTTTCTCCCTCCATTGAGAGTGTTCCCCAGTATCAGTCCTCTATCTGTGTTCTCTTGTTTACACTGTCACTCTAAACAATAACCAGTTAACACAAACTACTACCCCAACTATGATGATTTCTTCCATTTATACTTCTAGGTCTTGCTTTTCTACTCAAATTTCTTTTTCTTTCTTTTTTTTTTTTTTTTTTTTTTTTTTTTTTGGTCTTTTTGAGACAGGGTCTCGCTATGCAGTTCAGGCTGGCCTTAAGCGCAATTTGTACCCCAGGCTGGTCTCAAACTTGCAACGATCCTCCTGCCTCAGCCTCCTGAGTGCTGGGATTACAAGCATGCACCACCACACCCGACTTCTACTCAAATTTCTCTATCTCATTGTTGTTGCTTCCCATACATTACCTTAAATTATCACTACTTACCTCACATCCTTAAAGAGTCCCCTATCTCAAATGGTCTAGTTCAGTAAAAACCGCATATTTATTGTGTTCTATACCTTTGTTAATGCTACTAGCACTGTTAATGCTATTAATACATAGCATTACTAACACTAGTGGATACAGAAATTAGTAAGACTACTTCTTTACCATTAGGTGGCTCTCTCCTTTCATAAAAGGTCAATTTCTGTATAACAGGGTGAATGTAATAGTAGCACTATACACAGTGTGCTCTGGAAAAAGTCCACATTCAGGATACGTTTGCTATAGAAAAAGATTACTTAAAGTAGTGACAAGTGCACCAACAAAAGCACAGCTGCATTCCAGAAGAGGCGACAGGGCCACTGTGGTCCTAGAAGGGAGAAGCAGAGAAACCACCTGACAGGGTCCAAACCAATTAAAGTGCATAGCTGAAGTAGTAAGCAAAACCTCTTGATAAATAAAGCTAAGATCGTATCACTGAAAAACAGAACCTAACTAAACCGATCTTCATGCTAACAACAAACTCTCTTCACTCTGACTTCAACTTTGGTGTGCATGCACATACAATAGGAACACGAAAAAAAGGCAACAAAATGACTCCAAAGACTCCCAGCCCTTCCAGAGTAGACCCACAGAGCACCAGTGGAGAGGAAATCAAACACCAAATAGCTGAGTTCCACAAGATGGTTAAAGAGGAAGCGAAGAAAGTCAGTAAGCTCCAAACTGACACGACCCACAAGCTAGCGCAACAAACTGACCAATGTAGCTAGGGAAGAAACTCAAAAATCAGCATTGTACAAAGCATGAATGACAATTTTACTAAAAAGTAGTCTCCGAAGATACAGAAACCCTAAAGATAAAGAATTCTATTAAATATGTAACAGAAGAAATGATCAACATGAAAAAAGGGTTTCTGCAATTGAGGACAAAATTGAATCAAATGATGACATACAG